TCTCACATACTATGCCTTTGCGTGTTAACTCTTTGAAAATGGCCAAACTATCATTTACGAAATACAAACCTTGATGATTGTCTATTCGATATTTGTTATTCTTGGTAAATATAACCATTTTACAGTTACATCATTTGATTCTTACAAGATATGTGATGAAAGATGAAAAAAGTCGCTGATTGAAAAACAATTTATAATAGTTTGGCCAGTACTATATATATATATATATATATATATATATATATATATATATATATATATATATATATATATATATATATACATATATATATAACACTTGCCCAGTAATCATTGCGCAGAGGGCCACAACACATGAATAACAATGCCAAAAAGGAGAGAGTGAGTCAGAGAAATGGAAGCAAAATCCCATTGTATGTCACACTAGACAAATTATTCTATCTGATAACTTTCCTGACATCAAACGTTGCGTTTTACCAGTGATATTGACATAACTAACCCACTGAGGAAAGGGCTATCGACACTGCAGGGGTTTTGATGTTGCTGTTCGCAACATCGACACCACATAATCGGTTACCTCCTCGTTTAGACTCATCAGATGGAGATAGCCTGAGTTGGAGTGGAACTCAGGGCCTAGTGGTTAATGGCTGACGCATTGATCACTATGGCTCTAAGGTCTGTGAGCAACACTTGGCATAGCGGTAAGGAATTCGAAGCTACATTTGAGGTCCCGGCTGTGTGGTTGTATTACGACTCGTAATCTCCATACAGACCTCGGTTCACTTTGAAGTAGACCTCGATCATTACGATCACAAGGGCTGTCTCCGAATTGGAAGTGCTTCGGTGTTGTTGCTCTTTCCAACATCGACACCGCATAACCGGTTATTACGTCCTCTTTTGGGCTCATCAGGTAGAGCTAGCCTAAGCTGGGAGTGGAGCTCGGGGCATACTAGTTAACGGCTGACGCCTTGATCACTGGGCCACTGAGATCCGTATGCAAGATATGGCACTACGGTTGGGGATTCAAAGTTGGGTTTGAAGTACCTGCCGTGCGGTTGGATTGCAACACGCAACTTCTATTGAGACCTCGGCTTACTTTGAACTAGTTGTCGATCATTCCCATTACTAGGACCGCATACGAAGCGGAAGGGTTTGTATGTTGCTCTTCCCAATTTATTATATATATATATATATGTATATATATATATATAGAGAGAGAGATTGATCACAATCTGTGTACAGATATTGTGCCATCGGAATCATGGTGGAATAGGAAAACAGGGCTAGATTAAATGAACAAAGAAAATAGACAATTTTTGTCCATTTTTTCACTCGTAGTTTTTTCGTCTTTTTGATCTTTTTTATTGAGGGAGGGAAGGGGATGATTCATCCATGGTTCGTCAGTGGGCGTGATACTACCCGGTTGCCCAGGCCGAACTAGTGGGTTGTCTTAGGGGGGCCCACTCCCAGCCTTTGATCCAGGATCTAACCTACAAGGCATTTGAGTGTGTATCGCAACCCGTTGGGAGCCGGTGACCAAACAAATGGTTCATACGCCTTTAGGACCGCATATGACCAGGGGCCGAACATACCCTTGAATTACGATGCCACTCAGAGTGAGGCGAGGGGCAGTGAATTTATCTAGTGGCGAGTCTCATCCGCCACGTGTGTTGTTAAACGGGCACAAGCGGCTTTTTATAGGGAGAACGTTTGCCAGGCGAAAATCCACCACATCCTGAAAGCCTGCCGCCGAACGCTTTGCTGGAACGGCATAATCCCCAACCACCCAGCTGGCACCATTTGGAGGTTGTTCTGCAAGCCAGCCTCCCAACATGACACTCGACGACCGGCTTCGTCCTCATTTGGACTCATCAGGAGAAGGTAGCCCGAGCTGGGAGAGGAACTCGGAGCCGACGCTTTGATTTCCACATTCAGCATCACAATTTTAACTGTTCCTTTGGAGATCAGCATTGGTGTAAAACAAGTGCTGGCCAGCGCTTTGTGCATCCTCACTTTGGTTTGGGAGCTGGCCTAAGCGGTACGCGTGATCACTTGGAGGATCTGTGTGAGACTCATCAGCGCTCTACCTCATTTACTCACTCAGCTGCGAATGCCTCATCCATCCTTATTTATGCATGATTTTGGTATTACCGGAATCAAAACCACGCAACCAACGCGAGGAGCATGTTTTCAGGACTTAGGAACGCATGAGGCTTGCTGGGACTACCAAGCATCCAATCAAGGCAGTCGTATAGGGATTGGTATACGTGTTGTCACCCCGTCGTATTCTACTTCTCTCTCCTATGAACAGACTTCACTATTTGCATCAGAAATTCTCCATCGCTTTCACTGCTACTCGTTCCCCACTTAATGTTGAGAACGAACAACGACGAACCCCGCTCCCTTCCTTACTTCGGACACATTCCCGGAGATCGGAATGATCATAGTGCATCTCGGTTCACATTGTGATTGTGTGTCTTAACCCAGACACATGATGATAACCCGAAATCCGAATGTTATCCCGTCCAAACCTTATGGCATGCTCGCCCAACGTATATGGGAGAAGCCAGCTTTAGTCCATTACCATTGTGTGAATTATACTGGTACCCCTGCTTATTTGATGAACACTTCGGCCCCCTCCTGACTACCATTAACTTGATCGTAAGCCAAATGTTGTTTGCCCTCTTACTAGGGACGGTTTTGCTTTGTTTTAAAAGGGCAAGAAGGAAAGACATTTCAGTTGGCCTGATATACTGAATTTAGCGTATTCCGCGCATTCTCGTACAGCTGCGTACATACTAATAGTGAAAACTTTAAACGAGCGAAAGTGAAAGGCTGGCTTGCCGAACAGCCTCCACATGGTCCCAGCTGGGTGGTTCGGGTAAATCCCGCTCCAGCTAATAGTTCGGCTGCAGTGTTCCAGGACGTGGTGGGTTTTCGCCTGGCAAGCGTTCTCCCTATAAAAAGCCTCATATGTCTGCTTAACAGTACTGTGACGTGGCGGATATGACTCGCCACTAAATAAAGTCATTGCCTCCTGCCATACCGGAGGATCTCACCCGTTTCGCAAACGTCAACCACTTCAAAAACCTCATCTGATCCATTCCTATGTTGGCGAATTCGCCGAACAAACTAACATATTAACAGTACTAGTAACAAATTCACTCAACATCATGACTTACCCATGAACCCACATACATACTACACATATATCCAGTGTGTACTGATTAACTTGCAACCTTTCTGTACCATTATTGATGTTACGCCTTGTATTATCATGATCATGCCTTTTAAGGCGTGTCTCGCATCGTCGAGAATAAATCATTTGTTTATTTCTTTGTTTTAAGCATCGATAATCAGCTGTGGTAGTGCCTCGACAGGAAAAATCACATCTTCCCAAGGCAGTGCAAGACTGGCCACAAGTTCCAGTTGCTTGCATAGGTTAGGCTTTAGACGCCGGATGGCGGCAGCCTCGGCGAACCTTAGTAGGTTAGAATTACTTTGCCTGCTAAGAACTTTGAATGCTTCTCGTGGGTTTTGGCACATGGTACAGTCGAACAGGTGCCTGGCAATTGAGCTAGCAGGTAGTTTCCCACCAGTCAAGGCTAGATTACGAGGGATGTGCTCCGAAATCCGGGTTGACAGCCTTCTCTCAGTCCGGCCGATGTACATGCTACCGCATGTACAGTTTTAAACTAGTAGGCGCATGAGACGGTAACTGGGGAGTGAGGCCTGTCCAGGTTGGATTCGTGCAGCAACTTTCTGGTTTGATGCAGCTGCACGAGCTCAGCTGCGGGTAGCACATCTTTATGGACTGGCATAAGCGATGACAGAACCTTCTATCATTCTGTCCCACTTTGTACGGTAATGTAATGAAGACCTTCTTCTTTGGAACCTCAGCCGGTTTTTTCCTTTCTCGCTATTTCTGTCCCGCACTTCGCGATAAACTTATCCGGATATCCATTAGCGCGTAAGGTGGAAATGACGCTTTGTAGTTCTTTATCATTTGATTCGTCCGAACAGATTCGTTGGGCTCTCACAAAATAAGTACGAACCAACGAGCGTTTATAGCTCAAGAGACAGTAGCTGTTGAAATTTAAGTACTGCCCTGTCCAACCCGGTTTATGATAAATCGACCTAACGAGTGAGCCATCTGATCTCCTATCCTAGGGCTATATCCAAGAAATGAAATTTGTCTGATGATTCGCTTTCCATAGTTTTGTTTGCCGAATGTTGAGTGGCGCAAGCCTCGGGGTGGGCAGAAGTTAACTTGGCAGCGGGAAATGAAGTCATTGACGACCGAACTCGGTGCCATTGGTCCATCTCGCTTTCCAGGCTGGAGTCTACGTGCTTGTGCTTGGCTCGAGACGTTACCGAACATGACTAGCAGTCGACACCAGTGGTGCATCTGTTGCCATCTAGCCAGACTACCTGTTTGTAGTGTGTTTGATGCTGAGTAATCCGTGTGATAATGACTGCTTATGATGCGGGGTAGGGAAAGCCACAAGGAAGCTGTCTTGCCAATGCCGCGTTATCTTTTCACGGTAGTCCGCTGTTTGTGATGACATGTTTTTGACAAGTTGTAGGCGCCTTGACTCCGAATGTTTACCCAGAGCATAAAGGCTTTATTCTAGGTTCCCCTTCTTCCCTCTCCTTCTACATTTATTAAGTCATTGTAGTTGTACGGTAGCGAAGGATCAGTTCAAATGGCTGGTGTGTTGCTGTTATTGATGATGATGATGATGGAGTAGGAGATTCTCACTAAAAGGACAGGCAACTCCACGGTTGTATGTTGCACTGCTTTCGCTCACTATCCTGAGACAAATCTAATTAGTGATAAATTAAATAATCTGGTGCTTTCGTTTCTGTCTGGAGTTACTACTCTGCCCTTGATTTGATCCATCAATGAAGACTACGAGAATAGCCACCGTGATTCGCACTCAGCAATGCTCCGAGGTGACTAGTTCGTATCGGGAGTGCTTCATCCTCGCCCACTAATATTTCAATCTTTCCGTTCTCAGATGCGATCACTTCACACGGCAATCAACTGGTCCCAGTCCCCGAAGGATCCACTCTGACAATCAGCGCCGCGGACCACTTTCCGCTGATGAGCGTCGAGACGGTGAACCTCATTGTCGAAGACGTACTCAACCGTCAACCCTTCGTGTCCGCAACTAGCTTAGCGATATCGGACAAAGGGCAGGTGGTTCGAAAACCGTCTAATTTCATCGGGGGGAGTTCGCGCTGGTTATCGTCCACAGCTTCTCAGCTGAGCAGTCAGCAAGTGACAGTCCGACCGACGGATAAGGCTGTCGTCTACTTGAAGGTATGTTTTAATCCCATTCACTCAGCGAACCCACCCTCTAATTCAACACATCCCCCCACTATTTACGTTCGTCGCAAGGACGGGGTTTTACGCCTTGGCAGGTTATCCCAAACTGGCTTTCAGTCTACAATCTGGTCTCATTTTCGCTTGAATGCAGGTGACCAACTATTAATGGGATTTGAAAACGCAAGTGTTCGGGTCTCTCCTATGGGATGTGGTCAGGCAGCCCGCCTCGTTCGATGACCTGATTTCAACTCTATTCAAGTCAAGTTAAGCTAAGCTTTATGTACACAAATGTATGCACTTTACACTATCTACCACAAATGTGATAAAACTGCATCAGTAAATATGAGAATTTTGCAATTTTAACAACGGAATGTAAAGAGTGCACAGATGTCACTTAAGTAATCAGTCTATCACCTTTGAGCAACGACCACATATTGATAGAACGAAGTATAAGATTCTTCATCCAGTTGACAAGGCCAACATTTGTTAAAACGTTTATTGGTAGCTCGTTTCATTTGGATAAAGGCAACCAGCTGCGATGTTTCGGATACTTTTTCAACGAATTGGTGGAGTTGAGCGGCCTCAGCGATTTTGAAATTGTTCAATCAAAGAATTCGTCAAACTATCCAAACAAAACTGACGCGTTTACAGTAGAAAACGCAAAAAACCGTTTTTTTTTGGGGGGGGGGGAGATCGGCAACGGCCAATTCAAAGGCTTCGCCATGTTAAGATTTTCACACCCGCGTATCCATCTGAGAGCGTTGCTTCCATTCACCATAACATTCTCTCATTCCTTTGCCTGGTTCACTCCTTTCGCTTTGACGCCACGATCGCTATTCCACCGATTTCGCTGAGATGCCGATCTATTAATTGACTAATTTTCTAAGTGAACTAACAACTGCCTATCGCTGGCTGCATTGCCCAGGTACGACTTGTAGTCATTTCGTTGTTTAGCTTGCTTCCAACTCAGAATCCTCGCGTGGGTTTCTGTTCCCGGTTACTCACACACACACTGGGCTGGTGTCACGTCCCACGGCAATCAGATCTCCTTGTTGGGCCTTTGCCATATTCGAAAACATGGATGCAAGCTCCCTGAACATGAGCTGCCGGACAGAGATGAGCTCCTCCCAAATTAGCCAGGCGCTGTTCCTTAGTGTACTCTCAATCCAACCCAGCTATTGGATCATGTGAACCAGTTGCTAGTGAAATTCACGGAGATGAGAGAAACTGGCACAACCAAAATCCTCACAAACTTCCTCAACATGTAACTAACGTTAACAGGTAGGTAGGTTATATGCAACAGCCAGCAAACTGTAATCTCACAGTGGGTCGAAATGTTCCCAGTATTTCGCCCTTCCGACCATTTTGGGGATCCAGTGGCGTTTTACTCGCCACACCCCAACCTGATACTAATTCCGCAGATTATATGTTCTCCGTATCCACCACTCCACACCACCCTCTCCAAATACCACCTCTTTGGGGTCCTGTACCTGGATTCTTGTAGACAACCCAACGGATAAAAGGGCAGTGTACTTATTGTTAATTAGCTCTCGTTCATTGTTAAATAAAATGTACTTCCTACTTAATATTCTTCACCTTTTCTCTCCTGATGTAGTACTAATAACAGGAACATGGTGTTCAGCAGAGATGCCAGACACTTTGTTCAAGATACTGGGTTATAACATCTTTTATAATCACCGGCTTTATGGTAAAGGTAGTGGCTGTATACTCTACGTCAAAGACATATACTTGCTTCTTCCTCTGGATGAACCACTTCTGCGGAAACTTCCTGATTCGGTGTGGATTACTATTTCTCTTTAACCAACAAATCTTTTAGTAGGTTGCATTTACAGATCCCCATCATCTGCAGTCACCGTAACCGATGACTTAATATACACCTTTTCTTTTATTGCTGACCTCTCATACACTAATAAAAAAATCGCTGGGGATTTTAATATGCCTGAAACCCCATGGTCCCTTAACAGTGAACCGAAAAAACACAATACTTTTATGTCTACTCTTGCTCGACTGGGATGGGTGTAGCACGTCAAAAAGCCTACTCTGTTTGGTAACATGATCTAATATTTACTATGTGGTGTTCAGATGTGTCCACATACATCAGCGACAGAGTACCGGCTAGTGATCATAACATCGTTGGTTGTTCTTTTCAAATTCTTTCTAAACCGATAGAATCAGGGATCAAATACCGCCCATTCTCTTTTGTGAATTTACCAAATTTCTCGGATCTTATAAGGTCTTCAAATTGGGATCCATTTTTCTTAGCACAGAATATACGAATTGCTAGTGGTGAGTTCTACCATCGTATTCAACTTTATGTTGGAGTTGTGGCTCCAGGACGTACTGAGAAGTTGAATAGGACTACTGCACCTGCAGGCATCTCGAAAAAGGTAGCCATTAAACTTCATAAAATAAAGAAATAGTTAAGGAAAACAAACGATTTTACTCTGCTGATGCTCCACACCAGAATGCTAACAGCGTTATACCATGGTCACCACAAAATGCTATGCTCTGAGGAGGTAATGGTACTGAAGGGAGCCAACATGGTAGACTGCGTCTCAAAACATTTAGACCGTAACCAGGATAGAAATCAACTTACATCAACACGATTGTAGTCTCTGATGGAACTGCCGTAACCGATCGCGCAATCATATGTTCGATCTTTAGTGACTACTTTATGTCTACTTATAGCACTAGTGCGAGAGAGGAACTTCAACTCAATCTGATACATAAAGGCAGTAATACACTCCAAACTGTTGAATTCACACTTATTGATATATATCACCAACAGAGTAAATCGGCCATCATGCTCATCAGGCCCTGACAACATCCCGCCCATTCTATTCAACCACGGAGGTCCAGACATCCTCCTGTTTCTGCTTAAGGTACTTACATTTTCCATGCTCAATGGGGAGTATCCTTTGGATTGAAAACAATCAACTATAATACCAAGACACAAAAGCCGATCTATGCAAGATTTAAAAACTTACCGCCCAACTCATCACAAATCCATTATCTCCAGAATCATGGAGAGGTTGGTTAAAGAACACATAGTCGAATATTTGAGTTCTATGAGCCTTATCAGTAAACCTCAGTACGGTTTTTTGTAAGGTAGGTCATACACTGTCTGTCAGTTAGATTACCTTGATTATGTGACTAGAGCAAGGGACGCCGGAAGTGCCATCATTGTAATATTTCTTGATATCCAAAAGGCTTTCGACTGTGTCTCACATTAATTATTGTTGCGGAAGCTTATGCTCCATGGTATCGCAAATTCGCTTCTATACTCGTTGTCTTCCTACCTTGAGGGTAGAAAGTAAATAGTCAAAATTGGTAACAATGCATCTGAAGCCAACTCAATCTCTAGTGGAGGTAGCGTGATAGGCCCGCTTTTATTCTTAATCTATTTCAACGATTTCCTTGATGACATCTCGTACGGGAAGCCATTCCAATTCTCTGATGATGTTAGCATAGTGTATTGTTCTGTCCATAGGCAAAATAGTCCTAATTTAGCCTGTATTCAGTCTGACTTGTCTACATTGGAGCTCTGGAGTAACTCCTGGAAGTTGCACTTTGTCACTGACAAGTGTAATTTATTGTACCACGGCTGTGGCCCTCCTCCGAACATCATAACCTTAAACGATACCCCTATTCCTGTGTGTGGCGCAGTTCGAGACCTTGGTCTGAGATATTCTGTCTCATTTAATTTTTTAGAGCAAATTATATTCTTGCAGGCTTCTGCCAGAAAAGTGATCGCCTACATAAGGGATTCCAGGGATTTCAGGATTCAAGCCTTTGAAATATGTGTTAGGCCGAAGCTTGAGTACTGTACGATAGTGCATGGTAATCTGAGAAAAGTGGATATTATAGCACTAGAAAACATTCAACGATCATTCACAAAAAGGTTTTTGAACATGCTTAATACTATGACATACCGTGAGCGTTGCGAGGCGCTAAAACTGGAGCCGCTATGGCTACGCAGACTCAAACTTAATCTGTGCCTTCTATACCGCTTACTATTCGGGTTAAACTTCACTGCTCAGCCACAACTCGAGTTTCCGACTCGTATGCGCTATGAACTAAGAAACAGCGAGCGCACAGTGAAAATACCAAAGTCTCGCACAAAGCTCCGCTCAAATTTTTTCTCCGTAAGATATGCATTAATATGGAACAAACTTCCGTCGAGTATTAGAAACTGCACCAGCTATCCGCAATTCAGACGCATGATTAATATTCACCTGACTGTTTCAAATATCTGGTCAACACTAAGCCAAACGGTGACTCTAGATGATTTGTATGAGAAAGGTCCTGGATACACATGAAAGTCGCCATATCCCCTATTTTTTCTTAATAGTGTAATGTAACCTACATATAGTTAAAGTCCTGCGTATGTACCTATCAACGATCTTACCCCTATCACTCCGTCTAACCAATTCTGTTTTCTCCTTTGATGCGCTATGCTTTTCAAGCTGAAGTCTCCGTACCATCGTCGTCACTCGCCAGGATTTTCCATCAAATTGTGATTGGCAAACGATTGTATTGATTAATATGTTTTTTTTTAAATTCCTCATACTTTATATTCTTCCCTGTTTCATTGTTGGTCATGACTAGGCTGATCTCTTGAAGTGACAAATTACAGCTTCCAAACTAAAAAACTTATACCTACGCAAATCATACTGCTACTGACTCGCTGGCTTATAACAAAAAGTGCCACACTTGACTGATCCGCATGAGGGAACGGGCTGGGGCTTCATCGCCCATACTGGATGCACAAAACAGCCCTTATGAAAATAACATTTGTTACCCAGGTGATGGCCTATTTACTATTTTGCCACACCGGCACAGAGCCGGTTGGGGCATGGAAGTGCACGTGAAACCCATCGAGGGAATACCCTGCATAGAAACAGGTCTCCTGGGTACCGTTCCATGGATGGACGTATTACTTTACTTGAACTTTTGGTTACATCTGCATTTGTTATTGTTCCCAGTTTCTTACTCTCTAATACTTTCAAACTGCTAATCACTTCAAAACCTACGTGGGAACCTTTGTACACAGCACGAAAAATTAACTACATTATGCGATCACGTTGTACAAGTTGATCAGACCACTCAATTGGTCTGTGCCTCGCACTGTCGAGGAATAAAACGTTTATTTATTTATTAATACACCAGTTGTCAAGGCAACCCAATTTTCTAAGTAGTCAACAAGAGATCTCTTAGGTGCATTTGGTCGAACCAAGGAGCGCATAAAATAGCCACGGAATAGCAGCGGCTGGTTCTCTATATTTGTGAGTCCGTTCTTCCACCGAATCAAGTCAACTGGGTGCTTTATGCACTCGGAAGAGATGGATGTGTGGCCATTATACATACACACATGTGCGCACATGCACATCTGGGGTAGTCCTAAACATATGCGAAATATGGTAGAGATTGACTATGAAACTAACCAAGATGCTTCATCTCATTGATCAGATTCTCGATCCTAGCAAATAATTTCCAGCTGTATGGATTGGTCAGCGGGCCCTGGACCTACCAATTGTCGGAGTGTGTTGATTTTACCCTCTTCGAGGTATTAGGTCCACATTCGGACCACTCGGGTTCGTTTGAACCCGTTGGTTATTATAAATTCACTTTGTCTGAACCTATATGAATGAACATGATGATGATGCCAACAAACGTCGACTACAGAATGCCTCCCCATCTAGCCGATTATTCTAACGACCTGGTAAGTATTTTAAATGATAAACTTGCGAATCTGAAAAAAATTTCGGAAAAGCAGTATTTTTAATGGAGCAAAAAATGCACACTGATGGAACAGATTAACAAGCCTCGGCTTTTTTGAGGGTCATATTTCTCTGCTGTAAGCTTCTAACCTCATGATTTTCTGTTATAAAGTTTACACTTCGGTTTCAAACACATAAGCAAGCACTAGCGTTATACAAAAGCTAATGGCTTATCTCAAGGTATTCATCTAAGCAATGTAGGGAACTGTTCTATTCCCTACCTGAATGGATCAATTACCACCGGTTCATCGAGTCGCCGTCAACCCGATTTTTCTTTTCTCAATCACAGCCGGATAACACTGGAAGTACTCTGTTCTTTGCCTCAGCGCTTTCGCTACGGGCTGGCACAGATGCCGCCGCTGGCCCGATCGACGAGTCTGCCGTGCGTGGAGCGATCATCAAGGAATTACGCAAAGAGGTCTCCCGCCCGGTGCATCGGAAAGACTTATTTTTGAGCGGAAGTGTGTTTCAATTGGACGAGGTGAGTTTGGTCCAGTTTTGCCCTTTGGCTCATGATTTCCTTTAAATGAACTGCTACACGGTACTTATAGTAAAACCTCCGAACTTGACCGCCTCTAAGTTAACTAACTTTTTCATTGTTTGAACCTTCACCAAGTCAACCCTATTGTATCAGACCTCTGTATGTTTACCACTTAGGCTATAACAATCATTATTAATTTAATCTCTATAACTTGACTATATGAATGTTTATCGTGCAATGGTCGCTGTATGACTCGTTTGCTCAAATAGCAATGTATGACATTCTCCTAATCCACAATCACCACATTTTACGGCTCTGCAGACGTCTGATGATACTGCATGTTCTCTGTCTGCGTATGTGCGTGTATATTTTTGTCGGGTTCCTCAGTGTTTATCTTATACAATGTGTCCCCACTGCTCCACGTCCACAGCTTGACCTGGATCGTTTTATGTGAGCCCTTTCCTCACCCGTCTACATACACACACTCGCATCAAGCCCACACTTTGGAACATGTGCCCACTCATTGCACATGTCGCAATGAAGAGTTTCAGTATCCGTCTTTAACCTTCCAGTCGAGTTTCCCTATTCGTGTGGCTCTCATGAGGATTGATATCCACTTGTCTTTTACACACTCTCATTACTTAGGCAAGTCTCCCTCATTTATGACAGATTTCGTTGGCACAATTCTCCATTTGGTCTTGGTTCATGGCGCCGCTCATCTGCGGTCGTGCTGACCTGATCATCTTCGATGCTTAGTTATTTCAAGAATTCGTTCCCGCACCTATTTGTCTAGCAGTACGATCTCCACACACGCCCATCGTAAATTTGGTTTCCGATTCTTTTCATTATTCCCAATCCGTGCACAGTATCTTGCAAGTCCGACGGCGGATACCTACATCCGGACGGTGACAGCGCAGGCGGAGGAAGTTCAGGCACGAAATCCCATCATGGCCATGCTGCGTAGCATGTTTGGACTTAGCCTTCTACGCAGTCCCTCCTTCCAGTTACTAAACGTGTCCGGTGTCATCACAGTGGTTGGTACGTTTACTTCAGTGTTAAGCTTTAATTGTTCTTAGCAATACCGAAAAATCTTCAGATATTATTCCAGTGACTGAACTGACCGATGCATCACTTCCGAGTAAATCGGTGCTCCTATCTAAGCTGTGTGCCACATTCCCCATCCATACAACGGTTACTCCAAAACCAGCCGGCATTTTTTCTGAGCCTGTAGCCTAAAGAGCCCGTAGCCCAAAGATAACGGGCTTGTCATGTACACTCTGGCGGCGCAAGTTCGAGCCTGCGTAGGGGCAAGTCGACCCTCGCAGTCTCATCAGTCCACGTGCGACCGGTGATGGTTGCGTGACAGCGAAGCATCGGTACTGCGTACCGCTGACGCCTTTCTTTCTTACTTTTCTGAGCAAGATATTACAGATGCACATATACTACGCTCCTTATGCCTAGGCACTTGCCGACTTCGCAGTGTTTCTCAAAGCTGAGTGTTTCCGACAGGTCTGACCCACCTACTTAGTAAAAGCATAGCTACTTTGGCGCAGAAATGCGATAACCTAGTGGCGATGGTAGAGGCATCTAAGCTTATTAAATGCTACCCTTCGGATTCAATCACCGCAGAGTTCGGCACCCAAGGCTCCACAGCTGAACATAGTGGCCGAACCATAGGTAACGGTAAAATTGAAACCAGTCAAACAACCTAGTTCTTTTTACTACGGCGACCTCCATCCTGGCCCAGTCGATATAGCGTGAGAACAACTCAGCCACAACATCTCGCTGAGAGACCACCATTTGGAGTTGGCGACACACAGGATACCTGGTTGGAATACTTCCGGAACTTGTTCTCATTTCTTGTATATCAGCAGTGGAACTGACGTCAATGGGGTCAGAAATGGAGCTGTAGACTCACATTTAGTTGATGTTGAATGAGAAAGTTATTTGTCCAACCCAGCAAAGGGTCACCGTTTCCATAGCATGAAGATTGTGAAGGAGAATGAGGTGGTGATGTTATTTCATCTCATCAGATAGAGATAGCAGGTATCGAACCCGGGACCATTGGGATGTTAATTTTGACCGCTGCCCCATGAGCTTCGGAGCTACGGGATCAGTGAACCTATTCTGGACTGGATTTATTCACTTTTACTTCAACGATGCTTGAATGTGCAGGTTCGTAGCACCCAGTCCGACTCGATACAGGTTCATTGTAGCGTCTCTCGAGGTTTGGTACTAAGACCACGATTATTCCACGTGTTCATGAACGACATTGCGGAGTGTTCACGTAGAACTTTCAATTCATTACGGATGCCCTCAAAATTTGGCTGGCAATCAAACGAGTAGACGACCAAGTAGCACTGCAAGGTGATCTCCACAGGGCTAACGAGTGGTCGACACAGAACATAATTGAGTGTAACCCTGTCAAGTGCAATATAATAATGAGCATACGCCTCCAGAGCACCTACCAATATCGGATGAGATAGCACGTCCCGCAGTGCGCTCCTCATGAGTGTGATCATGTGGTAGTGGTTCAGGATGATCTCGGATGCCCAAAGCAGGCTGAGATGGTGGCAAAAAAGGCCAGCCAACATTTGGGTCTACTGCGGAGGGCGTTTGGCCAGTTTAATCCTACTTCCTTTTCGCAAATGTTTAACAATTTCGTGAGGCCACGCGTTGAACACGCCATTCAGGTAAGGCACCAATGGCAAAAACATGACCTCGTTGATCTTGAGAAACCACAACGGAGGGCGACAATAATGTTAAGAGATTATTCCACTTCCCATACCAGTTGATACTAGACTCTAGGAGTTTTAAGCAAGCAATATCGTCTTCTGCGAAGTGATCCCAAATCTGTGTACCAGACTCTCAACGACCCTAAACATCCGTGCCGACCATCACGGGAACACTTCAATGAGAGGCTACCTTTTGAAGCTGGGATGCAGCCGGAACATTTGCTCATTTCTTGTATCCCAGCAATGGAACTTACTTCCGCACTTTGTCATATTTTCTACTACGTTGTCCGAATTCAAAACTACACTTGACGATGCATTACATCACCTACATTACGTGATTTAACCCAACTTACTGGGACACAGGAACAATGTAACCGAACTGGATGTACACGTGCAACTTGTGATAAGTGCAACACTATGCGTATTTGGTTTCGACACATCCGATTTTGATCTCACTCTTTTTACCTACGCAAAACTGTAAAGCGTTTGTTTTTATATCCTTGACAAATCCATTGTCCCATTTTGTAGTTGCCCCCCACCCCGATTCATTCATTTGCGGCCAGTTAGACTAACACACGAACGTCGCGGTTGCATGCTATCACTCGCAGTGCACTCATGAACCTATTCGCCCTCATTTTTTTAGTCTCCAACTCCTTTAGGTAGGTCGATCAAAACATCATGGTGGAGGTTCACAACTCGAGATGTGGATGAGCTTAACGGGTGATGTGTGTGTGTGTGTGTCGTGTGTGTGTTTGTGTGTGTGCAGTCGTTCGCATCATTTAACTACCTGATATCCTCAGTGTGTCGTCCAGTGAAAAGTGGCTCACTTCCGCCACCATGCATTCGAGTCTATGCTACGCCCTCTGGGTTCGTTAATAACTAATCGCATGAACGCGGTGGCTTGATAGCCTACTTTTCGACGTTTTCTCACTGGTTTCTATGTCCAACTATGAGCTGATTTGATTCTACCCTTAATGCCATGAATTCATACGCAAACCGGATTTTCTCTCCTCCTCTCATCTCCCATTGTGGAGTGCATGCTTGAGTGCTTTGGTGCAGTGATCTGCGCCGAAAGCGGTTGGCAGTTATTGAGAACACTTTTAGCTCAGGCTGGCCAGGATGACAAAACATGTGCGAACAGGCTCGGAGGATAAATCGGCAACCTCGACTACTCGAGGGCGCCAATGCAGAGGCAGGCACACAGACAAGATGTAGAAGCCCCTTCGATCAACGCCGCTTATGTCTACTAGCACAATAGGATACTACAGCCACCTCTGCCATTCTAACGTACAGTGAGTTTTCTGGTCACCGAGCATATCGCGGCTAACAGGAGGTATATATAAGCAAACTTGAAGTGAGCGAAGCATAGTTACCATTGTCGCGCTAAGAAATTAGTAAAGTCCAACTCTAATTAAGAGGACTGATTTGGTGGGAGCGAGCGTTAGGGTGTCGAAAGAATACACGTAAGGTCGGGTATTCCGTTAATTTGAACGCTGCCGCATAAGATGGCACACACAGAGCTGCTCGTTTCGATATGTCCTTTTCGATGGCCGTGTGACTCTGCGCTGTTCCGAAGTTAACGTGTGCTGTATGCTCAAGGGACCGGCTTGCCGAACAACCTTCTCAGGATACCAGCTGGGTGGTTCGGGATTATCCCGTTCCAGCAAATCGTTCGGCGGCAGTGTTCCAGGAAGTGGTGGGTTTTCGCATGGAAAGCGATCTCCCTATAAAAAACCACGTATGTCCGTTTAACAACACTGTGACGTGGCGGATATGACTCGCCACTAAATAAAATCACTGCCCCTTGCTTCATACTGGCGAAGCATTGTATTCCAGCAACTTAATGCTGAAATTGTGGGGGTTCTTTGAGCCCCTGTTTGGCAAACGAACAAACGAAAGGCGTATAAACTGGACAATCAGTCACCGGTTCCCAATGTGCGCGATTCCCTGAAATCACTCTGCTGCCTTGGGGGCTGGCCATTCGGCCAAAGGCTCGGGGTGGTGTCCCCTAAGTCAACACCCTACTCCGGCTTGGGCAACCGAGTAGTACCTCGCCTTCTGACGAAACCATGGACTCATCCGTGTTGTGTTATGTCTTTTTAACGATATCTGTATCTTCCTTTGAGTTTCATGGTTTTTGATGGTTCCATGCCTATTCGTAGGCTATTGGGAATATATATATATATATATATATATATATATATATATATGCATAAACGACAGCAATATCCTAATGTATTTGCGATCGCCTGGATCATGTTCAGATGATTGGAGCCCCAAAACTTTACAACGAAATCCGATGCTCTCGGCGTTTGTGACCTTGGAGTCGCTCTCAGTAGGCACACGAACATTTCTCCTTCAGCATGTATCCAAGTGAATAGCCGCACAAGTGAGTTCGACTTCGAAACTCCATCGGAGTCAACATTAGGTAGTCTTTTTATTGTTTCGCGTCGCTCTACCGGAGACATCATCATCACACACGTTAGCTAGAGGTGGGGAACACCTCAGCTACTGTGCCGCAATACATAGAAAAAAGAGAAAAAATATGCAACTGGTACAAGCTGGCTGAGCTACCGGTAACGGATGGGCATCGTTCCGGTAAGCTACCAGCCGGCTACTGTGCAGCAAAAAAAATCACTATGCAAAATTATATAAGGCTAAATAATGAGATCGTGGTTGGAGGGGGAGGCTAAGAGGGATGGGGTGGGACAAAGAAACTCACAGCACGAATGCCACTGAGGTCGGCTCCTAGCCATGTCAGCAAGTGTGTCCAGCCAAACGTGTTCATCGTCTTTCGGACCCCAACCAGGGAGCCGAGACGCTCCAACCGAGGCCAGCTCAGAAGTGAGGGCCTTCATTCCTCTGGACCAAGTCATCGCTTGGCCACCCCTCCTCTTCTTCCATCCACACCCCCGGCGCGCAAACAACACACGTCGCGGAAGTCGGTGGGCTGGCATGCGTAACACGTGGCCGAACCTTCGGAGCCTGATGCGTGAAATGACGGTGCTGAGCGGTTCAGTTCCTTTTCCTGTGCCATAAACAAGGCGTCGGACACGCTCGTTGCTCACGCGGTGTTCCCACCAGATGTGAGCTAAATTACGAAGACACCGGTGGTCGAACTTAACTAGCCTCTTCAGGTCCGCTGCTTTAAGCGGCCAGGTTTCACAACCGTACAGTAGGGTCGAACGTACTGCTGCATTGTACACTCTACCCTTCAAGGCAAGAGTGATGTCGCGTCGGCGCCACAAGTGGCGAAGGTTAGCAAAAGCGCCCCGTGCTTTTGCTATACGATTCGTGATCTCATCTTCAATCCCACGGGCGCTGATACAACTTCCCAGGTAGTTGATTTTTTGAACGACTTCTAGCTGATCCCTACCAAGGGTCAGCGTAGGAGGCGGTCCAGGCCAATCTTGGAGGAACGCTTTGCACTTCGAGGGTGCGAAGCAAAGCCCGAAGTGACGGACAGCTAGTGCTAATCTGTCCAGTGCCGCTTGGCACGTTTGTGAGCTGTCACAGATCAGGGCAATATCATCAGCATACTCTTAGTCAAGAAGTCGTTCTCCTGGGAGTAGCTCCACACTTTAAGTCGTGTCCTGTGAACGCGATTTCCATGACTTGGTCAACAGCGAAGTTGAAGAGGAAAGGTGACAGCGGGCATCCTTGTCTCACGCCGCTGGAGATATTAAAGGGCGACGACAACTTGCCGTAAGCTCTCACTCTGCCCGAGCTACGCGCATATAATGCTCGGATAATATTCACATATTTCTCAGGTACACCTTTCCTGAGTAGACAGTCCCAAAGTGCATGTCTATCCACCGAATCGAATGCACCTTTGATATCGAGGAACACGACAACGGTGGGCCGCCAATATATGTGACGGTGCTCCAACAACTGACGCAAGGTGAAGATGTGGTCAATTCAGCCACGACCTCGACGAAATCCAGCTTGCTCTTCACGAATCTGGCTTTCACGAGTGCCAGTCAGTCTGTGAAGGATGACAGAGGCAAGCAATTTGGAGGCGATGGAGATCAGACTGATTCCTCTATGGCTGCCGCATTCCGATAGTGAGCCTCCTTTGAGAATTGGGACTATGATGGAGCGGCTCCAATCGGTTGGGACAGTTTCCTGCTCCCACAGTTTGACTAGTAACTCGTGTAAATCATCCACAAGAGCAGGTCCCCCGAATTTGAAGAGGGCTGGAGGAAGGTCATCAGGTCCCGCGGCTTTATCTAACTTCAACAGTTTGATCTCACGTTCGACTTCTGAGCGAGAGGGTGGATCCAAAGGAACAGCCCACGGAGCAGGGCGATCAGTGGTCGGCGAGAAATCTAACAATTCCGAACGATCAAATTGCTTTTCAAATTGCTCAGCCCAACGTTCCACGCATTTTGATTAGTTGTGGATAGGCTGTCCCCTCTCGTCACATATAGTTTCACTAACACCAGGTCTCCTGCTGCCCGTTTCCCGTATCAGACGGAATAATTCACGATGGTTCCCAAGGGCAGCGGCCATTTCCAGCTCTGTTGCACGACGAGACCACCAGGATTCGCGGTCTCTCTTCAGGCTAGCACGGAGTTTTGCCCGGAGCTCTTTGCGAGTTTCATTGTGTTCGCTTCCAGCCGGAATATGCCGGCGAGCATCTATAAGTTCCAGAGACTGCGAAGAGACCCAATGTCCATGTTGGCGACTAGACATACCACATGAGGATTTGTCTGCTGCTAGTAAGGCCTGGTGAATATGAGACCAGTGAGCTTCAATTGCATCCAGTGAGCGTTTATCCAACTCGGATGACAGCGTAATTTGATAGGCATTCAGAACAGCTGGCTTCGCCAGTCTGCCGGTGTCAATGCGCTCACAACATCGTCGCGGGCGTCCGCCAAAGCTGCTGCTAGTAAGGCCTTACTATACCGGAGACAGTCGAGGACAGATTTTATGGGCAGCTTGTTCCTTTACTCGAATAAGCAAAGGTGGGATTATTGTAACTGTTGCAGACGATGTGCTTTAGTTTCTTCGCGGCCACTTTGGTGACTTATCACAAAGGCTCGAATGAGGCACACATGACCACATGCTCCACATCACCAGGTGTATGATGTCGATGGGCTAGGCTCCAGCGGCATCTGATGCTTTCGTAACCGGTGTTTTCCCTGCTGATGCAGTAGTCCTTTTTGCGGACGTAAGCAACGACCTTATTGATGTGGTCACACTACCGGCGGCCATCCGTTGTCTTTGCTTCCCGACATATAAAACCTACATTAGTTTTGGATAAACCCATCTTGATCATGCTTTGGTAACGTAGCTTCGGTTCCCCGCACATCCCGCTTCCCTACACGCAGTTGGCTACGCATCAGACGCTTCGGTATTCTCCTCGCGTTCATACGGTGGACATGCTCTAATCACCTCATGTGTCACATCAAAGGAAAACATTTCATTGCATGCATACAGTTCCCGTGGACTGTTTGTATCAGCAACTCTGTCACACCAACGGATGCGCGGAATCCAACGCAGGCACTGTTGAGAGAAGCGCTCCAAATATTGCATGTCCTTCGGGTACAGCGTCCATGTTTCGCTACCATAAGGAAGAATTGATAGCATCATCGACTTGTATACTATCAACCTAATCCCAACGGTTAGCTAGTGGTTTTCCACGCCTGATTTTCTAGCTTGCCAAGCTCTGCCCATGCTTTCGATATGCGGATGCCAAGCTCGCTGGTCATTTGTAGAGCCGTTGACAGTCCGCCTCCGAGGTAGCAAGATTTCCTTCAGGTTTCCAGGACTTCATCAACAATCTGGATCTGCCGTAAGCTCACGGATTCCATTCTTCATGACGGCTGAGAAAGACAAACACTTACTTGTGTTTATGGTGAGTCCGAACTTGGCCACTGTCGAAATGCGATCCGTCCCCATACGTTAGAACTCATCTCCTCTTAGGTGTAGACAACGCGCACTGGTCATGTAACATCTCCATCTAAATGATTGTCACATGCACTAGGCTTCTGCGTCAATCTCGCAGCAACGTGTACTTGATCTGTCAGGAACACAAGCTCCAGTTAGCCATATAAATAAATGTGACTAAATAACTAAAGCTGAGAACAGACAGAAAGTGTCAAACGGTTTACGTAGCGGAACTTTTCAACAGCCCCTTACCTACGACACAGTCGGATGTTTCGCTCGAATCTGCTTTGCCCACTGCTGTGAGATAAGTGTGACGCTGAGCTGAAACGATGACCTCTCCTAAATGCATCTTTTGACATCTTTAATCTCTTTTTAACTTGTTCTTTTGTCATTAGCATATTTGTTGTTGCCATTTCACACCGTTTCACAGGTTACATCGTTCCTTATCAGTTTCTGAAAGACAACGCACAAGTTCATGGTTATGGCGAAAAGGAGTCAGCGTATCTACTGGCTTATCTTGGCGTTCTCAACACTATTAGCCGTCTGGTATCCGGTAAGTTGTCTGTCCCCGCCCCCTCCACACCACTTTGTGCTTTTGCACGCGTAAATCCGTCATCAGACATGTATGTGTACTGTTGTCTGTCTGATCGGATACAACAACTGATTTAACCCGTGTGAACACTCGATGTTCTATATTCTGACCATGCACGATTCCTTAGTAGGACAAGGATTGTCTGACAGCAACCAGAAATGATCGATCTGTTCATGTACCTCAGTAGTTGTGCCAGCTTTGGGGGTCGCGTAACCTAGATGACTACTGCACAAATCATCAAAAGCCGTAAGATTTTTCAATGTGCAAATCGTTGTGTTGGCGGTATAGTGTCCACCTGCCAATCAACAGTCGTAGTAGTATGCAAAACACCGCGTTAAGGCCTGTGACACTGTAAGAATCAGCAACACGTTTAACTCTCACAGAAGACATTAAACAATTGACAGTCTTTGATCCCCTTGTTCTTACGCGCTATTGTTCACATCTGGTGGGAACCCGGGATGAACAATCCTGAGGGCAAGAAATCTTCTTTTACCGCACTCGAGTGTTTTTTTAAGCTTGTTCGCGCTATACGTTGGCTAGGTCATGTCCTCTGTATGCCCATCGACCGGCTCCCTCGATGTGCATTACACGCCATTGCCGCACCAAATTTGGCGAAATCGCACAGAGGCCATTCGATGACGTGGCATAGAAACTGACCGAGAGACCTGATCAGGATGTGAGACTGAGACTGTATTTAAGAGTAAGTAGAAAGGTTTCTGTACAACTCTAACGAATTACGAAAAATCGAAAACATTTAATTGCGAATCGTCAGTGGTAGTGTTTGGTCAGTTAATCGTTTATCCTTGTTCGGTTAGGAATTCATATTGGTGTCGTTATTTCCGGGTATACGATGTCTTCTTTTGGCATTGTATGTGTATCGTTTCACAAAAGTACCGATTTCCGAAATAATCGTCGATAGGTGTTTTAAAACATTTCACAGAATCGACCTGCATTAATCCTTCTAGTAGTGTATTCCATAAGTTTACTATTCTTCTTTCGATACAAAACTGATGTGATACTTTGTTCATGCTGGGGACCCTGAGTTTGTAACGATGCCCTCGGGTGTTACAGGGTTCCCGCAGGTGATATATTGCCCGCAGTATGGAGAAGTGATTCAATTGTGGTACTGGATGGGTCATAATAAGGTCAATTCTTACTCGGCGGTACAATAGTGGGTAGAGTCCGAGCCTTTCACAACGCTTTTATGCGAAAGCTTTCGTAGACTCGGTATCATTCTAGTTGCAATATGCTGTGTTTTCTCCAGCTTTTCAGTTCCCACTGGGTTATCGGATGATAAGCTGGGACACTGTATTCAAGCATTGGTCTAATGAGCGAGGTGAATAGACGAGGGACGGTTTCTTCGGACCATGTGGAGAAACTGCGTCGTAATGCCCAGAGCATACGAAGTCCTGCATGGTACAATTTTTCTGTATTTTCTAGTGATCTCATATCATGTCGCGAGAGCACTCCTAGGTCTCTGTCTGATGTGTCAGGGTGGACAACTGGCAGTCCAAGGTGTATGATCGAGTGGCTGTACGTCTGGTGATACTGATGAACTCCGACTTGCTTGCGTTAAGAAGGAGTTGCATTTCAGTGGACCACCTTGACAGTCGCTCTAAGTCATGGTTGAGGCGGACGCAGTCGTCCTGGATCTCAGTGATCCTCCAGATTTTCAAATCATCTACTAACATGACACATGGTGACTGGAGCTGCTACGGAAGAACGTTGATATGAATACTAAATAATACTGGCCCAAGTACAGTTTCTTGGGGCACGCCACTAGTCGATGGGAATCAATCTCAAATAGTCATTGATCTGCACTCTAAACTTTCGTCCCACAATAATCTTGTGTAAACACTGAAGCAGCGTGTCACCGATTCCGTAAGTCCTCAGTTTACGAAGGAGTACCTCGTGGTTCACTCTGTCAAACACCTTACTAAAGTTGATGTACACCACGTCAACATCCTTCCGTTCGTTGAGAGCTCGTACCCACTGGTCGTTTGCGTACATCAAATTAGTGATGCAGGATCGCTCTTTAGTAAAGCCGTGTTGCGCTGGCGTCAATACGTCCATCGATTCGAAAAACGACAGCAGACACATTTTCACAGCCTTCTCGAGAACTTGGATAAGGTCGAAGTCAAACAGATTGGTCTATAGTTCTCTATTTTACTCGGATCACCACCCTTGGAAGTGGTCTTACTATTGAGCATTTCCAATCGTTGGAAACAGATCCTTCAGAGAGTGATTTATTGAATAGCTTTATCACAGCTGGTGAAATGACATTCGATAGGGACTTGCGTATTAGTGAGTGAAGTCCGCCTCGTCCGGGGGGCTTTGCACTTGACGTGTAGCTGATACACTTCGATTGCATCATATTGTAGGCTGTCGAGCAAGACTGGCGCAACCTGTGCCGGTACTGGAACAGCCGCCGGTTTACTAGAAAATACGGTGAGGAAGTGTGTAGCCAAGGCGTCCGCGCGCTCCGCGCTTGAAATGAGCGTCTTTCCGTCCAAGCTCTAAGACCGGTAGGTCGCCCCCAGGTTTCAGTTGAAGTTTCAAGTAGGCGAGTATTCTTTTGGGTGCAGCTGTGGCTGAGGATGCTAGCTCCTCTTCGAACTGCCGGCGTTTCTTGATCTTTGCGGCGTTACATAAGTTTCGCTGTTTCTTGTACACCGTGTAATCTTCATCACAACCCGAGCTGATGTATCTATCCCAAAATTTGCGACGCCGTCGCGCTAACTGTCTATATTCCGTATCAAACCAATGCGGTTTAACAGGTCCGACTTTTGAATACTTCAGGGGAACGAACCGAGTACAGAGCGAGTTAAGATTCCCTTCATTAATGACAAACAGGCCTCAAGCGACGCATCCTGTGGTAGTGTCCAATCAGTCTGACTTGGGGCTTGGGCGAGCCCGTTGAAGTTCGTCTTCCAATAGTTGAATGTCGGCTTCCGTTGGTTATAATACGGTGACGACAGTTCTAAGCTTGTCACAATGGAGCAGTGATCACTGTTCCCCAGAGGTTCGAGGATTCTGATCTCGTTCAGCTCTGCTAGCAGCTCGTAAACATTAGGTCCAAACAAGATGCCGAGTGCGGAGTTACGCGCGTCGGTTGGATGACATGTTTCGTTGCCCCGATTTCAATAGTCATTTTAGCGAATTTAGCCTCAATTTTGCCATGGCCGGGAAGAAACCGAACATCTGGCTAGAATATCTTAGGTAAATTTAGATCCCCCATCAGTAAGAACTGAGGGCGGCTTATGCACTTCTGTATATGTGGTAGTCAATTACAACAACGGTTTAATGAGCTACGGTAGATAACACCCACTATTAGTTTTGCGTGTCTGAGACGAATGCTGCGCCACAATTGCCCGCTCCTCGCTCCCATGGGGGCTGATAAGCTTGACAGATAATAACGAGTTTATGTACAACAGAATACCACCGTGAGCCTTTGATTTTCGGTCGCCTCGGAAACAAGAGTATCCTGACAACGCGCCTTCTTGGGGTATGACATCAGAGTTTAGCCACGTCTGCGAGTCTTAAAACGTCCGGTTGTTCCGAGACAGCCAAGCGGCATAGTTCATCACGTTTTTCATTAGGTTGCACACACTGGAGAATGCCACACGGAGGTCTTAGGTGGTACCGCTGGACGTGCCTGGAGGTTGAGCAACCGGTTGATACGGGTTCGTAAAGCTTACTTGATCACCCGAAAATCTATAATTTGTAAGTCAGTCTCACCGTCTTCAGTACGGTGTTTGAGCTCTATAGTCTCAGTCTTCAAGATATCCCTGTCTTCGGGTTCTAATTCCCGGCGGATGTGAATCTTTATGACTTCCTGCCTTGATAGACGAGGCAGTATGAGCTGCAGCATATTGTGATTAGCAAAGGTGATTTTAAGAGGTCGACATGACTGATTAGTTTTCTGGCCAAGTCGGATTACTTGTTTAATCGTCACATTGTCTTAATCCACTTCCACGAGTCTATCGATGAGCCCCTGGAGGAACTCAACACTGCGATCATAACGTATCTTAGGGTTTTCATTTTTTGACTGGTACGTGGAGGATCATGAGATTATGGCGCCTCAGTGAAATCAGTGATGAACCTGTGGGAGCAAAACTAGAGGCGCTTATCTGTTTGGGTTGTTGTTTATCAGCAGGGGACACGTGAACTCGATTACGTGGCCCCTTGCGCTTTTGAGTGGTCCATGGATCCTCGGTGTTTAGAGGTTCACAGAAGATCTCTGAGAAATTCACGGACCGATCAGTGAAGCGAAATTTCGTAGATTCCAAGTCTGAGTCTTCCATCGGTGGGGAACATTGAACCTGAGGCTCGGCCGGGGTCGAAGACGCTGGTGGTGGTGCAGATCACGGAATGACAAGAGAAGACGAGGTGACATAGGTACTTTCTCGAGGGCGTTTGACCCCACGTGGTGAACGGTTTGTTTCTGTCTGGAAGAGATTTTCCCGCAGTTGTTGGCGGTCGCTGTGTATTCTGATGTCTTTCACTGCGACATTTATCACATATAACTTGAAAAGATCGATGTCGGATGTCGAGAGATTTTCGAAACACGTCAACGGATAAGCCAATGCATGAAATATGGAACAAAACATCGCAACCGAAGCACCGAAGTGCATGAGCCTTATGTCCAACAATTTTCGAACACGAACCACAAGTAGCTTGAGACGGCATCACAAGCTAGAGCAAATCCAAGATGACGGACAGAGATGGCAGTCGGGCGGATCAATGAGATCTGCAGAGTTATCCAAACAATCTCCACCAAATTTGCACCGATTAGAAAATACATCAAAAGAAGAATATTGGTGCAAAATGCACATAGAAAAATTTATAACACAGTAATGCGAAGCAAAAGTAGTATCCAACACACGGTGATCCAAAAATCCGCGGCATTCGTGGGTACAGCTCAAGTTGTGAACCCCTGAATGGTCCACATTAGTGGTTGGGGACCCTATTAGACATCGCGTAGTCAGTGGCGCTCCTACATTCGGTTCTGTGCATCTTGCTGTGTATATTCCACCCCCGAGTAACTCACTCCCTTTTTTCCTAATCCCCTTCTCTTTCTATTCTTGATGTGCTCTTCCTCGTGTATCTCACCATTCTTGCTTGTTTTTATCCTGGTGATGCTATTCGTGGTAACTAGATCCACCGCACTTCGGTACAAGCATCATGGTTGTTTAACTGTACTGAACTGGGTTGAGCCATGGGGCCCGATGTGTTTACAACCATTGGTGGCATTGCATTTTGTGTGGTCTCGGCTTTTTCACCCTGGACTTTAGGTCATACCGTGATTCCCCGCCACGTCCTTTCCCGTCATCTCAGGTTGGTTTTCTGATCAACCCTGGACTGACGTGCTCGTGATAAACAATGTAGCTCTGGTGCTCTCAGGTATCGCCACCGCAATGGTGCCCCTGTTCACTACTTACGCTGGGATGCTGTCGTACGCTTGTTTTTTCGGATTTGTGGTCGGTGAGTCCTCTCTCTCTCTATTGATTCTCATCACGTCACCGTCCTATCACCATTTGCCTACTTTAACATGCTACTGATCAGTATAATGGTAATCCAGAATTTCTGCCTTTTTAGAGAAGTCCAGATGGAAGATAGCATAAGGTAGATAATCCATCTATCACCACGGAGCTTTAATGTATCGGATATCTGAATGTCTTCCTGTCGGTCGAAATCCCAATGTCCATTGATCCAAGTACTAGCGAAAATCGGTTCGGGACGTGCCTTTTGCGAGCCCTACTCGGAACGTCGGTCAGCGTACAATGCCGCGCTTTGCATGGACGATACGAGGGTACTGGTCACACTTGTTTGCTAAGACACGTGAAGTGCTTTCCATAGCTGATGGGAGCCTCGATGTAGCCATACCGAAGTACACCATTTGGTGTCCGGCAGCAACGCCTCCGTCGCCACACTGATTCGTCACACCATTTATACTCGTTAGGCGATTTTTTTTCTCAAGTTCAGTGGCCGGCTACTTTGTTGATGCTGCATTTGCGTCTGGTTAACTGGCGGGTTGACCGATTGACGACCTGCCTTAGAGGCATGATAAAACCGATCGAAAGATAGTGAAGGATTGTTGCACGATATCTTCCTGAATCTCCCCATCGGTATCGGCCAACCCTATCGGTTGTGATACAGACGTGGATTCTAGCCTTTCGATCGCATGTTTTTGTTCTAAAGCTGATTGAGGTTGCTAGATTTATCCAGTCCGACTGATGTCATCCGCCGTTTTACCGAAAATTCGAGCTCCCTTGCAAATGCAAAGCTGAGTCCCCGGAGAAATTGCACCTCTGGAGCTTTCCAAGTGAATGTGACCGCAGTCGATTTTCGTTTTGAATTTGATGATTGCATACCTGGGTGCACTAGCCAAGATGTACGTTGAGCGAAGTATACTTTTCTTAGCCAAATGCATCCATAATGCTTTCAATGCCTCCTTAAGGAAAGTTTGTTTCTCCATAGATCTTTCAAAATGACCCTTAACGCTATCAAGTCGCCTCCATCGTGTGCGAACGCTCCTAAATTCTACTGTCCATCGAGTGACCACCCCTAAATCACCCAAAAGTATCCCACACTGTGTACTCATCTGTTATAATATCTGCTTATTTGAGACTGGTCACTCAACAAACATCACGTAATATTTAGGAGTGTTTGCACTCGTTGGATTCAACTTGAAAGCGTTAAAGAGCATCTTGAGAGGTCTATGGAGGAACACGATTTCCTCAAGAAGTTGAAAGCCCTGTGGATCCAGTTGGCTGGGAAAAGGTATAGAACTAACACTAAATCAGAATGCATGTAGCAATATGTGGGCCAAACGGGGAGAAAATTGTCTACGAACTTACAAGAACATAAACGCGCCTGTCGAAACCATTACTCATCATCATTGGTCTCGACACACGTAATGAAGAAGGACACATGTTTGATTGGGAGAAAATGGTCCTAGCGCAGGGAAAGACAAGAAAAGAGAATTTCTCGAAGCATGGTTCTCTACGGAGGATCCTGGGGAAGGGTGCTGACGGCCGAACCTACACCCTTGACGGTCAACCGCTATATCCCACACCCTCCCTGAAGGACCTAGGTGTACTCTCACGCTTCAATTTGTAGTCCGTGGACAACACAAACAGGCTATATCGTAACGGACTGCGCATGCTTTGGGCGCTCAAACGTAGCTTCGGCACATGGTGTGAAGAGGTTGCCACTCGCCTCTTCTCTTCGATCATTAGACCACTGCTAGAGTACGGTTCGCCCGCCTACTTTCCGATTACGCGAGGCGAGGCACAAAAGATCGAAAGGGTCCAACATGTTGCTACCAGGCTCATCCCGAGTTTACGTGGCTTGGGGGTATGAAGACCGGTGCGAGAAACTGGAACTCTACACCTTGTCCTACGGTCGGGTGCGAGTCGACCTCATTATGACCTACCGTATTCTACATCTCGGTGACTTACCCATGCTGAGGCCAATGATGCACTTACGGGGGCCATGCAGCACACGCGGACACAGATACAAACCTGTCGTGCCGGATGTGAAGCGTGATCCCCACCCACTGCGCTTCGAACGGAGAGTGGTAAATATTTAGAACAGTTTGCCTGCACGTGTGATGGAGGCAGCATCTATGTAGCAGTTCAAAACGATGTTAGACTTATATTTTACCACTATTCGATTCAGAGAACGATTGCACACTTACGGTGACATGTCACATTTGTGAGTCCTGCAATACCGTGAGTCAGATATTTCCAATGTTACATGAAGACGATAACCATATTCACAGCTGGCAATTTTTATAACGTTTTTCACCATATTTCGAAAGAGTTGTACAGAATTCATTTCTACTTGCACTATAGTACAGTATTCAGTTTTCAGAACATGTGCATTGACTTAGATCCGGTCTACCATCAACTGCAAAAAAAAACTTAAGGCGGGTCATTCAGCACGAGTCTAAAAGAGGCGGTGATCGGACTGCAAACTAGCAATGGTCACGGAGCGTGAATCGAAGTGGCCAAGTTCAAACGTCAGTCGCTCGTCGGTAAGAGTCGACAAATCACTCCCTTTGCTTACTACGCACTGAAGAAGTCACCTCGATGGGTGACGAAACGTCTGCAACAAAAGTGTTCAGCTCGGGGAACAGACCAAAACCTGAACAGGTATAGAGTCATCCTGTTCAGTAGGCACGTGTCCGAACTGTGGGGAGGAATTCTTGCCACGTGCACCGCACGCACAGCAAAAGGACACGTGCCAGGTGATACGAGAAAACAGCTGTACCATGGTGTGAATTGTGACGTCAACGGCCAGTTATCTCATCAGGGTAGTCTGTCACATGCATGATATTGCACGGGCTGTGACGCAAACGCGTTTACCACGAGCTTGTGCCCCGCCAATCCCAGTAAAATACGGGTGGTTGCTATGTGATCCGCGTCTGGCACATTCGAATTACGGTTCATCGATGGCGGAAACGCGCATCACTTTGATTATTTAGACACGCTGGCTCTCGGACGTCGCTCGCTTGGAGCTGTTACCATCTATTCGACTTGTACAATTCGTGGTACCCTTTGATTGACCCGGTCTCATGACACTTTCGGAGCTGATGAACCGCGTATTAGGCGAAGTGGCTATTCGGTGCTCTACTTAGCAATCCTCGGAGCGGGTAACTATGCCATCTCTCACTCATTCGCACACACAGTGCGATCAAATTCCTCCGCAAGAAAATCCTTTTCTTCCATAAGTCACTCGCGATAGTTCGTATCTCAATAAACTTGTATCCAACGCGCTTGCGTGGGTGTACCCACGCTGAATCCAATTTAATCGAGGGGCGAACCGTCTTGAATGACTTGCGGAGAAATCTGCTTTCTTTATAGAGGAATTCGTTGGTACTATGGATGTATTTGACCCAAGGTTGGTATGGCAGGTTGTCCTTTAACGCCTCTTTACGCCTGGCTTGCAATCTCTGTACCATGAATTCGAGCGCCACCTCTTGCATGGGTTTTGGCGCCACGGCAATATCCCGACTTGCGTACAACCACTAATGGTTGCCTTACAGTTAAGCATCAGTCTGATCAGTCCGAATATTGTTTATTCCACACTGGCTGTGGGTTGTTCTATGTTCTATCGCGTCTTAGTGTAGACGTCTGGAAAGCCGCGATGTCCAGTTAGCTTAACGATCTAGTTCGCTCCTCCCAATCTGACCGTGCTACCAAGCTAAGTACAATTCCGGTAACAACGGGTTCTGACATCGGGTGCGACTGATGTCGGGTGTGCATAAGCCGGAACTCATGAACGGAGGTGCTTACGACGGAACAAGGCTCCTCTTCGAAACAGGCATTGTCATGTGAACCCAGCATCGAACAACGTTTAGGTTTCAGCACTTCGTATGGACAACTATCGAGCAACACGCTTTTCCTCACATATTTTCCCTTCAAAACGGCCTTGCAAACCAATGCTTACGATCATGTTTCGATTTAGGGCCTTGGTGACTCCTGTGTTGTTGGTTTACACCCCAATCTTGTCCCCATCCTACTAGGCTGTGGTTTGATAGGCTTATTCACTGAAAATAATCGTGCACTCTTGGGATGAGGGAGTGTGCTTCTAGTCACAGACTTCGACTCGGAAAAACGGAGCCTCACACGTGTATCCAGCGTGATCCAGCTGTGTAACGGATGTGGGCGTTCCTTTCCCCTATTTCAACATGTTAAGAGGAGCCTGAACTCAGCGGTCTGCTTATCCTCACTCCGACTTTCGCTTCTTTACTGGTTAACCACACTTTTTGGCAAACGAGTTTGCTCGCATTTTACTGTCTCCATCGTGTAGGTTGTATTCACAGCCTCATTGTTTCTAGTACATCTGCCATTTAATTTCCACATTCGTCTCAATCCATCGCCCTGACTATTCAGACCTACACGTTTCAACGGCTTATCGGGCAAACTGATGCCTTCCTCGTACTTTGGCATTTCATTGCCCACGTCGTCTCTTACTTCTTTTTGGGCATAGACTTCTTTAATTGCTTTATTCTCCTCACCGAAGATGTTTTAATATGGAAGCGGATGTTTCGACAAACAGGTCCTCATATATCAGCTGTCAACATTGAGGATAGCAACGCACAACCCTCATTCACATGGATGATTCTCTATCGCGTAACCACTGGATATGTTTATGGGGATTAACGCATTGTGTGTTGTTGTTGTTGCTTACCTGGTTCTCCCAGCCGCGTCAAGAGAAAGAACTCACATCGGCTCTACACGCAAACACCTCTGGGGTAATGTACAACTAGCTGTGATTTTAAAAACTCACCCGCCCACTCAATCGATTGCCTGATCAACCACACTGAGGCAGGTGATTCCCTTCGCCCCAGCTTTCAGCCACCATCACATGTGTTGCCCAAGGCATGACCCGAACAACAATCGTAACCAACTTACGGCAGGCCGCTTGGACAGTTGGTAGACTATGGCAGTGGTGGTTCTCACTACCAGGTCACACTTCCTTTGACATTGGTGTAAAGATGATGATTCAGGCATTTGCGACTCCGAGTTCAGTAGCCCGCAAAAAGAAAGATTTTATCGTTAATTCTCCTAAAACAAGTATGAATCCAGTGTTGTTTGTAATTAGAGAACAATGAAAGGTGGGATGTGGACAGTCTCCGAGTGAGTAACTGCACAGCTCTTTATGTCGCGGTGTGCAGCCCTGATTACGATGGATTAAAACCATGCCAATTAATGAAAAATGTGCCATCACAGCTCGACATTTTCAGGCTTTACGTGAATTACGAGCTAAGGACGTAGTCGTAATGAAACCAGATAAAGGTTCAGGAGTGGTAATCATGAATAAAACCGAATACAATGAGAAGATGTGCGTTATACTCAACGATGCGAGTAAATTCGAACGGCTCACGAAAGTGGGGGACATAACCAATGTCGAAATGCGCATAATTCGTCACCTGGAATTACTTCTCCTCCACCGCGTGATAGACTTGGATACATTTAATAGTTTGAAGCCGAGTGGTAGCACTATTCCACAGTTGTATGGGTCCCCTAAGACACATAAGTGTGAAGTGCCACTCAGGCCAATCCTTTCAATGATGAACGCGCCCCAGCACAAACTCGCTCGTTGGTTAGTGAAGTTGCTAGCTCCGCTGAAACAACAGTTCAATCCGTACAGTCTTAAAGACTCGTTTCAACTCATTGATGACCTGGATGAACTCAACCTGTCAGACAAATTCATATGTTCCTTGGATGTAGAATCCTTATTTACCAACGTGCCGCTACATCAGACGGTTGATTACGTGTGCGAATTAGCTGAAAACGGTGGCTGTTCGCTACCAATTCCGACTGAATTGCTAAGAGAATCTCTACTATTGTGCACGGAGAATGTGGATTTTCACTTCCGGAATACACCATACAGTCAGATTGACGGCGTAGCAATGGGTAGCCCATTAGGTCCTGTGCTCGCTGATTTCTTCATGTTGATGGTAGAAAGAAGCATTTCTACAGAAATAGCCCAGGTGCCATACTACAAAAGATATGTCGATGATATCTTGGCTTTCTGTTCGTCGGAGCAGCAGCTCACACATTTGGTAGAACGGCTCAATTGTGCTCATGCTAACTTACGGGTTACATGTGAAATAGAACAAAACAATTGTCTACCATACCTGGACATACTTATAACTCGCAGGGAGGATGGATTGATTAAGAGGTCAATTTACCGAAAATCGACTTGGTCCGGTCAGTACCTGCACTGCACCAGCTTCACACCAGTGCGGTACAAACGGACACTTGTGAAGACTCTAGTTAGTCGTGTCAGACGAATTTGTTCGGCCGACTGTCTGGACGATGAGCTGGTGTTCATTACAGCAACACTAATGGCGAATGGCTACCCTCGAAGATTTATCGAGAAACACAGCCAACCGCGAGGACCAAAGGACTTGGTGCACACGGCAGCCAAGAAGAAAGTGTATATCGAGTTACCTTTCAAAGGTGACTTAGCCACGCTGAAGACAACTAAGCGTATAATTTCTGCTACACAAGGAAGTTACTATGCTGCACAAGTTGTCGTTATCAACCGAACCCGAAATTTGCCCATACCTCCAACGAAAGAAGCTCAACCTATTGGGGCCAACTCACACTGTGTATACCAATTTGTATGTGACTGCGGAAAAAGTTACATAGGCAGAACCAATAGAACGCTGACTTCCCGAATAAAGGAACATGTGCCAAGATGGGTTCAACGTGAAGTTGCTCAGATTGCCTGCCCTCGTCAGATTCCATGTTCGCGCAGACTGCCGGCTTCCTCGATAGGCAAACACCTATTGGACTCGGGTCACCAATTAGAGGTAGGCTCAGCGTTTAAAGTTGTGTTACGTCACCCTAATCCCCGTTTCCTTCGGTTTGCCGAGGCTGTCTCAATTAGCCGGATTAAGCCCGCCTTGTGTGTTCAGAAACAATTATTTGTTAGCCTAAAGCTGCCTTGGACGTAGGTGTGAACTTCCGTCATTCATTTTGCACCTTAAGCTTGTCTGGTTGCACCCACTGTTAGCTATATCTATGCTTACCGGTTATTGTTAATGGTACTGAGGAGACAATACGAAATGCATGCATCTACCAGCCTTCGTCTTCTTTCCGTGCTTTTTAAATAAATACCATCAAATCCACCTACTCGTGAGTAGTCCATGAGTTTCGTGCAACCAATGCAATGCGGTAAACAGAGGGCTGGGGCTAATCGCACGTGGTAACAATCCATGTTCATTATGAACGCGTTGTCACATATCAGTGTGAGTGAGTCGACTGACTGCAACTACGCTCTTGGTAACATGTCTTGCACGAGCGCCCTTTGTTCACACGGCTCTGGTTGGTCGTCGGATTGCAATGGCCTCAGTGATTGCCAACAGTGCTTCATGTTCCCTCTCGCGTCCCGCTTTGGTGCTGCGTAGTGTTGAATCGGTTCAGGACAAAACACTCAGGATCGAACCAAAAATCGATCTTTAAAGATTTGAGTAACTAACGGAACAGTTTGGACACGATACCTTATCACGTGTCTGTTCGTATCAGCTGTATCTGGACGGCACATTCATCGTTTGTGATCCCAACATCGATCGCGCCCATCTTCTGGACCAATGTAACACGACGGTAGCCTAACGTTTCTGGTTACGTTGTGCACCGACTAGATGATGTGTGCACAATTCCATGCTGGAGCAAGTGATCACGATTTGACGTTCGTCTCGTCCCACTGGGTCATCTAAGGTGTGTTACGCAGCATCGAAGCGGGACCCAAATGAGATCATGAAGCATATTTTGGTGGCGGTTGAAGTCATCGAAATCCAGCAACTGCGACCACAGCCGTTCGAATAGAGGGTGCTCGTAGTTGTGTCGAACCCAGCGACTGGTTCCAACGACTAACGGTACTGAGAACGTGAACAAACAGGAGCAAAATAGAGTGTTATTTTCGTAGGGAGACGACGCTGTTATATTGCGTGACGCTGAATGTTAATGGCAATCAGGGCACCGGTGGCGAGCGGTCAGCTAAAGCTACTAAGGGTGGAACAATTAAATAACCAGTCAGTTGCACATATAGAACAGAAAGTGACAATGTTTGCGTTAGATCGGAACTGTGATCCGAACCCAAAACAGCGGCCCCTAGACAGCCAATAGGGCGAACAAAAACGTTCGTTGTGACAAACGTCAGCGAATTACCGTAACCTAACGTTAGTTTGCAGTTATGATCACCTTCACAAGTATATCTGAATTTTTATCGCTCCTCTAATACTCATGCCAATACTCATTTTGCCATGGCCGTAGTTTAGTCAGGTGACTTTATTCACTGGTGTTACGGTGAATTCACACCGGCCATCGATTGTTGCCCGCGTTCGGTTTGTCCCTGCTTCCGGTGAATGAAACTCGTGGGATTCTTCACCTAGCAGCTTCTCCCTCGAAGAAGCTATCAAAATCCTGCCTTTCAATGTTCTCCATTTGCAAACAACCTTCGATTCATAATTGCACTTGCCCCCTGTACGACTTATCGAGCATTTTCTTGATGGGTTAGTAGCTTTCTATCATTAGGATAACCGATATGTAGAGTCTCTGCGTTCCTCCCTGTCCGGGGTTTGTTGCTGCCAACTCTTTTATTATCGACTTGATCCTTCCCCTTCGCAGCTTGGTTCCTACTTCACTGCTTGCTTTGTACCTGCTCATGCAGTGGTGTTAGGTCACCGCTCTATCTCATTTTTCTCGAACCCGTCAATCGTTACTCTGTTATTGCGCCTAATTGCGACATCATTCGCCCGAACAAAGCAGTCGGTATTTGTTTGACGGTGTGAACCGATTTTGGCGTGTAGTCTGTGAGTTATTCTGCCGTCGACGCTATCCTCTCGTGTTGTAGACGTTTCTGCTTCCATTGTATGCGTTCACTTGCGTTTCTGTTTCCTTTTTCACAGCCGCATTTATCGTTGTACGTACCATATTGACCGTGAAGATACTTGGATTGGATCGTCTCACAAATGCATTCGGCTTCTTCCTACTCTTCCAGGGACTGGCCATTGTCGGTGCCCCTCCATTGTTGAGTAAGTAGCGCACAGCAACAGTTTTTCATACATTTCCCAACAACATTGGATTGGGTTCGCTGTTCGCTTCATTCGCGATTTGATCGATTTATGGCACATAAGAGATTCTCAATGTTGCATTCGACATCACCTACCACATGTTTTAACGCATCTGGCTGTTATCGTCTTCGTACATATGGTTTAGATTTTGCAGTGATGATTCTGTTCCGGTGCCTACTTATACCCGGAGTTAGGGCCTTCGTGATTGTAGCGACGATACGAAGCCTAGATTAAGTAAATGACACGAGAGGGGAACGGCAAACTGTAGACTAGTGAACCTCTGCTATACGCACGCTAGGCGGAGAAAATAACACGGAAATTCCTGTTACTGTGTTTCTATAATCCATATCAAACACGGTAGACAACTTGCGAATAAGTTTACAATAGTAATGAGAAAGGACAGATGCTGGAAGACGTGCGCGGCAGTGTGCAGAAACGTACACTTTACTAGTTTGCCAGTCCACAGTTTGTCACCGGTGAAAATTTGACCTTGATGAGTCAAGGATATGTTAATGGAGCGAGGCAAAAGTTTAAAGGTTTAGCGATGCAGACGTTCGGAGCACACGTGTGTACAATTCTGTATGGAAACTACGAAAGGGTTTGGGAATAGGTCTGCCATGTCCTTAAATAAGCGATCCAGCTTGCGAAGTTTGAGAGTCAAAGTTCTATGTGGACTTTCAGTGACGGTGTATTGCGCTTGATCATGAGTTCTTCCACCCTTTACCATCTATGTGGAGGTAATGCCTTCGTGACGGCGTATTGCACTTGATCACGCTCAGACCCTAGTACTTCATTCGACCAATTCTATTATCACCGTTTGATCTGTCATCTAAATCTATCTGGACATTTAGGTCACATCTCACATTATCGACGGGATCGCATACGAACTGGTGTTGATGGAATGGGTGATAAGACTGTTGCGTATGATGGCCTTTTCCCAACGTTTCTGATCAACGCTAGAAGTATATTCACTGTTTATCAAATTGCTCTGTTCCACACCAACGGATACTCCCATCTTTATAAAAGCGTCAGAGTGTGTCTTGAGGAAATCACGGCCGACGTTTGCAAACTGCTCACCTCACGCTACGCTCCCCTAGGTATCATCGCGAGATTGGAGTCACTGAACGGTAAGGTGGCCTCTGTCTCGACGGAAAATGCATTGCCCGAATGTTCACCCTTCACCAGGTGCTTGAACTCCGTCATACTAATTGATTACCCACCGTGATAGTCTTCCCTACCTCAAATGAGCACCCTCGATTCATATTGTCGCGCGTGCTCAATCTCATGTTTGAAACCTCCATACGATTCTTGAAACTGTGCGAATCTGTCTGCTCACCACAGCAACTGGGTTCATCGGAGCAACCTTAGGTCAGTAGTCCTGGACCTGCATGCCCGAATAGATCGTGCATGACTTTGCAAGCTCTGACGAGTGACCAACTACCAACCTACACGGACAACCTGGTTCTCCCGGACTGCTCCATCTCAGTCCTTTTCTGATGCTACCGAAGTAGGTACTACAAAGCAGTGAACAATTTGGCATATGTGTCACGCGAGCTAAATGCAAGTCATTGCTTCGGAATTTCGGCGGTAGCACCAGTTCTCATCAACACCCGAGTCGCCGTTGGGATCTGTCTATTGAGTTGCTTCTCTGAGCAACTGTATCACATCCAGCGATCAAGTAACCCAGGGAACCACTGCCCTCATCCAGACTTCATCAATCGAATTAGAGTGTGGGATTTCATTTAATCGCTTTTGTGCACCCATTTCCACTCTGTGCATCTAAGATTAGGGCACTACGCTTGCAAGCCTCATGGCATCAGATAGCTTTGCTAACTGATGATTGTCACGTGTGTTCACCGAGTTGAGTGCTGTTTGGTTTGCACTTGGCAACAGACTGTTGGGTGACAAACTTCACCGTCGTTTGCATATGAAGGGCAGCCAAATTGCGTTTTTTACACATTCGCCACATTGATGTGCACTGCTTGCTGGTGTAGCGCCTTCTTTGTCCAGCCCGCCGGGTGATCATTTTATTGCACCAAGGATCCACCCAGTATTGCGCAACGGCGATGTTACGTCAGCTATAGACCACTTCAATATTTCGAAACCATGAACACATGTGTAACACAGGAGGAGAACAAACGTCTGGAGCATATAATGGTGATAACACGCACAAGTGTTAGAACGAGTGATATCGCAATTAGTTTATAGCTGTTGTATCTTGTGCCATCGCGATGAGACTGGACCTTAACGTGGTGTGATGGTTTGTGTGCCTCAGTGATCCATTGAGCTATGCTTGGTGCTTCAGAGCCACTCATACTAGATTAGTCAATGGTTAGACGCCAGGTTGGGGTTGGCATGAGGCTGGCTCCTTACTCCATACAACGGGCTCTCTGTAGTCCAGTGCCAAAACCCCGCTACCTTGCGGTAAGGTTTCTGAACCAAAGGCTTTGATTGAGAACCCTAGTAGTTCTCCTGTCTAGGCCTGGGCAACCTGACAGTATCCTGCCCACGCCTTGCACTATGGCTTTTTTTCTAACAATTCCGTGATGCTCTGGCCGTCGTAGAGGATAATAAACGGCGCCCTATCTGCTGCATCGAGCAGGGTGGATAGGGGTTTGGATGCTACTGCTCAGGCCTTCCCGTCTTCTTATTCACCCTCTTGCGCTTTTCCATCCTTAACGTCCCATTCCAACTTCGCTTTTATCCCCCCGTTTTCAGTCCTACAACTCTAGGCCCGCCCCCATCTTGTTTCAATAGTCGTTTGTCTTCTAGTTTTAACTCACATTCAATCGCAGGGCGCCGCTCCTGTCCTGTCGACAAGTCCATGTCCCCGTCAAGCGGATACCGACAATTCATCCGTTTCCCTTTGGCGTCCTCGATCCTCGCCAAGCCTAGCATGCCTCAACGTACGCACTTTGCTACAGATTGCCCAACAGGCAACACTTGCCCGAACACTCGAGACCCTTTCGATCGATATTTGCTGTTTATCGGAAACGTGCCTGCAAGACTCGAGCTCCATGGTTATCCTGTGATCCCTTACATGCGACACTGACGGCACATTCACATTGCGCCTGTCTGGCGATGATGCAGCTTCAAATGTAGCTCATGCTGGTGTCTGCATTGTTTTGTGTCCCCGGGCTGAAGCTGCCCTGATCTATTGGATCCCAGTCAACAGTCGGATGTGCGCCGTTAGATTAGCAGGTTCGTTCCATGACACGACGTCGCGCGGGAACAAACGGTGCCTGTTTGTCATTGCAGCCTACGCCCCTACAAACAGTAGCACTGATTCAGTGAAAGATGATTTCTATCAGCAACTTCGCGATCTCCTTCGTCACAGAAGAAGCACGGATACTGTGGTGTTGGCTGGCGATCCAAACACCCAAGTCGGAAAATTGTCCGCTGGTGAGCTTCAGTTGGGCGACCAACATGTTGTAGGCTCCCCTAATGATAATGGCGTGCGGTTGCTGCATCTATGTGAAGAGGCTTGTCTCTTTCTCACGAGCACAAACTTTTGATACAGCACCCGAGAAGAGTGACTTGGCACCCACCAGTTTCGGACCAACCATGGACACAAAGTGATCACATCGCGATCAGTTACCACTGGAGAGGCTGTGTCCAAAACTGTCGCTCGATTTGGAGCACAAGCATGTACTCCGATCACGTTCTTGTGTGTGCCGACCCTCGGGTGCGTTTCGGTGGACGTCCGCAACGTCACTGTGACCTCATAGACACTAACCAACTGGTGAAACCAGGTGTACTGAATGCGTATCAAAGTACCCTGGCATCCGGGCTGAGTAAGCACCCACTGAACACCGTCGAAGCTCACCGGTTACATATTCGTCAAATGTTACTATCAGCAGGCATGGCTTTATGGGGCAAATCGAATTGCCAACCTAATTATTGGATCTCTACAAGTCTCTGGAACTTATGGATGCTCGCCGACGTATTTCGGTTGGAAGTGAACACAGTGAGACTCACAAAATTCTCCGGGTAAAACTGCGTGCTAGCCTGAAGAAAGACCGGGAAGCCTGGTGGTCTCATCGTGTCTCGGAGATGGAAACAGACACTGCCGTTGATAATCATTGTAAGTTATTCCGTCTGATACGAGAAACTGGCAGCAGGAGACCTGGTGTTATCGAGACCATACGCGACGAGAGTGGGCAGCCGCTCCACAGCCTTTAAGAACGCTCGGAGAGTTTGGCCGAACACTTTGCTAGGCAATCTAACCAACCTGGGTTATCGTTTTCCTTTTCGGGCATTGACGCACTTCTCCCTGAGCAGTCTCCTTAGATCCGCCCTCACGCTCCGAAGTCGAACGTGAGATCAGATCGTTGAAATTGCATAAGGCTGCAGGGGCAGATAGAATTCCCCCAGCCCACTTCAAATTCGTGGATCTGCTTTTGTAGACATTTTACACGAGTTGCTTGTGGAACTTTGGGAGCAGGAAACTGTCCCGACCGACTGGAGCGGCTGCGTCATAGTCCCAATTTTCAAGGGATGCTCCCGTTCGGAATGCGGCAATCATAGAGAGATCAGTCCGACCTCAATTTCCTCTAAATTGCTTGCCTCCGTCGTTCTCCACAGACTGACTGGCGCTCGTGAAGGCCAGATCCGCGAAGAGCAAGCCGGCTCTCGTCGAGATCGGGGCTGCGTCGATCACATCTTCACTTTGAATCAGTTGTTGGAGCACCGCCATGTTTATTGGCGACCCACCGTTGTCATGTTCCTCGATCCACCGATTCGGTGGATCGATGTGCCTTTTGGGACTGTCTGCTCAGCAAAGGTGTGACCGCCAATGACATAAACAATCTTATGTTTGAAACCTCCATATAATTCTTGAGACCGTGCGAATCTGTTTGTTCACCACAGCAACTGGGTTCATCGGAGCAACCTTAGGTCAGTACTCCTTGACCTGCATGCCCGAATAGATCGTGCATGACTTTGCAAGCTCTGACGAGTGA